CGATTTAAATGATTCAAAGAACTTTCTGCTTGTCTTAACAAAATAATTGATTTTGGAAAAAAAATTTTGTTCAATTTTTTTTTTTTTTTTTTTTTTTTTTTAGTTTTATCAAAAATATTTCAGATTTTATTTTTAATTCTGGCTATAGTTCTAATATACTTTACAAATATTTTCAACTCTGCAATTCAGTTTATATAATTCTCATAAATATTAGACAATGTTACAATATTTATAATAATCTATTTGAAAACATTCAGTATTCCTCGAACATTTCGGTACGGGAAGTTCCAGCAATTTGCCTTAAGGCACGATGCCATAAATGCCTCAAGACAGAATTCCACTTACAGCTAGTTTAAATTGAGATCCTAGAATGCAATAAAAAATAAAGGGTAAAGTATACATTAAAATCCACTTTAAGTATCATAAAATTGCCTTGTGAAAATTAACGAAGAAGTTTGTTAACGCAGTTACTTATATTTATCGGGAAGTTCATGCAACTAGCCTCAAGGCAAAATACCACTTACACCTAGTCAGATTACTATTCCACAAAAACTACATCCATTTCATCAATATTTTTCTATTTATTACTCACAAACGTGGGCGTTTACGTCTATCCTCGTACAAATGATACAAAAACTGGTAACTTCTATAATCAAACAAGGTGATTACATAAAACAATAAAATTGAAAAAAAATCTCATTTACAACTACTTGATAATTGACGACCAACGTTGCAAGACCGCTTTGCAGGTTATATTTAGAATTTTTAATATCGTTCGCTACTATTTGTTTTATCTGGAATGCTGGGCAGATATAAATGCAAAGCACGCGTTTGGAGCAAAAAATAACTGAGGTAATGATTAATTAATTCATTTATAAAGTGTCTGTAATAACAGTTTATTGAATGATTAATTTAATTAGAAGGAATAATTAAAAGATAATATGGAAATCGTTTTTATAATTTTCAGATTTGTCTTTGGTATTTTCCAAGACTAGTGAGCATATTTTTTGGTTACAGATTTTACGGTTATAAGTCACATACGATACGTAAAAACTGCAAAGATTTGAATTTTAAATAAAAATACACGTGATATTGGTTAGATGAGCGGATAATTAATTAAGTACCATCACGGGTCCAAAACGTGAGGAAAGGTCCTATTCAGACGTATTTTAATTTTATTATATTGGCCATGAAGGCGGCAATCTTCATGGCATTGAGCTTTTACACCGAATAGTTGCTACCCTGTAGAAGGTGTAGCGGATTTGAATCGGACTTATTTTACACACTTCTAAAACTAAAGTCCGCGTAACTACATATGTAATGAATAATCAATAAATATATCTTCTTCAATCAGAACTTAGTGGCAAATCATTAGTGTAATAAGAACTTCAACAAACACAAAAATTATACCAACAAATAAGTGTTTAATAGAGTCCACAGCTACAAACGTTAAATTATAACTTAACAACCTGAGTTAATCGAGGGAGAGACTTGATACGCAAAGACAGGTCCAAAAATCTTTAAAAATTGATCACGTGATTAATGGACACCCTCTATAAATAAAAATGCGTGAAGTCAAACTAATGTTATTTTTACAAGTGTGTTATATTTTACTTATAAGCACCATAGGTATAGTTTTTTCACAGTTCTTTTATTATAAAGATAAATTAATCAACTATGATGATTACCAATGATTTTATCATGTAAAATTATTCTTTTCCTGGCTTTGTTCAGCCCTGATAAATATGCTTATAATATATCAATGTGTTTCGCACGTTGCGTAAGTGTCATGATTGAATCAACGTAGTAATGCAATCGAATGGATTGAGTTAAACAATTGAGTTTCTAGTCTCCCATGGTAGTAATAATATGAAGGCTAGGGTCAAATTGATAAGATAAAAAAAAAAATTATTAACTTTACTTTTTGGACCCTCTCCCTCTTGCTCATACGTGGTGGAATTATCTCCACTCTTACACCAAAAATCACGTGCATTTTTCAGCAACTAGAAAATCGTAAATTTTTTGGGAATTTTTTAAAAAATTTTGGATTTTTTTTTAAAATTCGGTCAAAAAGTCAGTACACGTGATATCTTAAGAGACTGATGTTTCATTATTTTTTGCCAAGACGTCTACTCCCCCCCCCCCTTTAGGCCTCACGTGGCTAGACGCTCCTAAGTAAGTATATAGTATTTTTATTAGTATTTATATATCAAAATTATTTTTCGGTGTTGGCCTTTAAATTAAATTGAAATAAAGTAAAACTAGAATAATGATGTAAAATTAATTAGTATAGGGAGTGTGTCGCCTTAACTACAGGACTAACAGTCGACACAAAATACTATCAATGTCAATAAATCAATACTATCAGCCTATTTTTTCACTTTATATAATCAATTCTATCATCATGTTAAGTTACAGCAAAATTCTATAGATGTAAACCTGAAGTTCTCTTTGTAAGTCTATGTATTTTTGATTCATAAAACTTTATGTATCAAGTTTATACCTCCTGGCAATATATTTAAGTACTATTATTTTTCTATAAAAATATTTCTACCAGCTCTCTCACTAAGAATCGAAAAGGGTTCAACGCAGTCTAAGTGAGGTTAACCGATCAACCTATTATCTGCATTAAGCTCAATATAAATGTTTTGATCGCATATCACAAAGCAATTCAAAGTATTGAACGACAATTCAAATCGAATTAAACAATAGATATTAAATCAATTTGACATCAAATAACACGACGCACATTTAAATCAATATTGTGCAATTGAGTTGAAGTGCTCGACGCTCTTAGAAGGTTATTACTCTATGGGAAATAGAAACAAACGCTGGTAAAGAATAAGTAATAAATTTTAAGGAGAAAATTTTTGTCTGGAATATGGATAGTTTATTTGGTGCCTCACCTTAGCGATAACTCCAATTTAGTAGAGAAACTTTAACAAAAATGTTGAAAAAAACAGGATTTTAGATGATACAAAACATGTCCTGAATATGGGTTTGATCACAATGTGGTCCTGAATGAATTTAAACCCTAATCTCTCGTTACACGTCGTTTTATTGGCAAGATTTTATTATTGCAGAAACTTTGTAACAATTTTATTTTTTGTGCTGAAAGTCCTTAGCAACTGTCTTTTAACTTTTAACTAGGTTTTCGTCATGACCTCACATATTTTTCAAGTATATACTAATCTTAAGTAAAAGTCTTTAAAGATCACTTATAGTACATATGTCTTCCAGCTTTAATTCAACTATTATAGAGTTTCAATTATTATTTGCATGAGTAAAGTAAAATTCCAGTTTAATTCTTTCTCCCCTACACTGTGGGCTTTGTAAAAAAATAAATATATGCAATATTGTGGCGGGAATAGCTCACTCAGTAGCGTTCTCGACTCACACGCTGGAGGAATTCGGTTCGAATCTCCAGCAATACCAGAATTAAAAATATAAAGTTTGAAGTAGGTTGAGAATTGTTTATTTGTAGGATACAAGAAAAATTGTATTAGAAGTAAGAAGGAAAAAAGAAGTTTAGTTTAGAAGATGAGAAGAAGATGAGAAACAAGAAGAAGAATGAGAATTGAATGGAATTGAAGAAAGGAAAGAAAGAAGAAGAAGAAAGAAATTGAAAGAAAAGAAAGAATTGAATTGAAGATTAGAATATAAGAAGAGATAGTATATATGATGAATGTATAAGAAATATATATGTAAGAATTGTATAGAATATGATGAAAAATAATATGAATAATGTAGGTGACTAAAAATGCTGTAAAGCGGAGGCCAATAATTTAAAAAAAAAAATTAAAAAATATCGGTCTCTTCAAGTCAAATCATCTATTAATAATTCTGCACATATATTTATAACTTTACCATTCGTATCTCGTTTTTCAATCGCTATTGTTTTATTATTATTTCGTCTCGTATAGTTCACACAATGTTTTATGTATCAGTTCAAAGGCGCGAAGAGTGAATGCATTACATATAGGTTGATTACATGCTATTGTACATTAAGGTTATTTATAGAGCGTTTTTTGTTTTCGATCTGGGATTTGAAAAATATTTGCATATATATTATATACTAAAACAAACTAAATGGATACATATATAGAAATATGCAAGTCTGGATATGTATGAGTTTAAACTGCAACAAATGGTAGAAGTACACTTGTATGTATGTATTCGGTATAGTTCGTTTTTTTGTTTCCGATCTAGCTCCTAGCTAGATATTTACTTTTCAATTGTGTTGAACGCAGGCAAAGAGTTATTTTCTAATGTAATGTGACTCATTAAAATTCGTATTTTAATTTACTTGCAATCGCATACCGACACAAAATACAATAGTAGCAACTCACTCTTAACTACTTTTCTAATGGCATCGTCACATACAATGATGTTTCAATCGGAGTGACAGTTTTATAATAATATTTCTGTTGTCGGGAGCGCAACTACGCAATACTGAGAGGAAAATATCTAATTATTGGTGAAAACAGGACGAAAATTGGATTTTACTTAGAACTCATTGAGGAATCAATATTTTGAACATCATCACTATGAATTAATATACAGGGAGTGTTGGAACTCAACGTCAAGCTGAAACGAGGTGGCAGTATTGACCGTAACCATAAAAAAAATATAGAAAAAAAATCCCACGCGGCTTGAAAATTATGAGAGTAATGATTTTGTTAAGCTATTTTGTAGTTTAGGGGGTCACAAAGGTTGCCAAACTTTTTGTGTGTTGGGCCCTTTGGGATTTGCCATGGGTCTCCACGTGGACCACTTTGGGAATCACTTGTGGAAGGGTAACCATGAATAACATCTCTAAGACCTTAAATTCTGGAACACCCTGTATATATGTATATATGTATATTATACTCACATAAGAGATCATGGGTATATTCGATAAGGGAAAACCAAGGGAGTATCGAGATAAGGGTAAACATTTCTAAGGCTTCAAATTCTGGAATGCCCTGTATAAATGTATACTATATGTTTGTTCTACTCACATAAGAAATCATGGGTATATTCCTCGCCTGAGCTACAATGGCTTCAACATGACACGGTCCTTCTGGTCCAAACAGGGCCGAAACACCATCACAAAGCATTTCTGTAAGGGCCCTTGTAGCTTGAACTGTGTCGCCTCTGGTATCGTTCCAACGTAAGGCGAGGGTTACATTGGGTAAAATATCGGGACTACTATTTATCTGAAAAAATAAAAATAGAATTGATAATATAATCAGGTCAGGTTTAAGAAGAGGTTCTATCCCCTGCTTATTTCGAATTTAGCATTAATAATTTGCAATATAAAATGCTATAAAACCCAAAATATACTCAAGCCAATTTAGGTAGAAATTCAAGTATGCGTTTATTCTAAGTAAAAATTGAAAATTGCAAGTCGATATCAATTGCTGGCTTAAAATCACGATCATAATCTCTAACTGTGTCAAGCATCATACAAATTCTATTAAATTTAACTACAAGTTTCATTTCAATTTCTGAGAATTGAGTTAGAAATGAGTTAATTATCAATATAAATAGTGTAATATAAAATTCAATTTCAATCAAGCATGTCGGCTACTAGGTTAATTATTGAAATAAAATTTAGCGTTAGTCATATGTTAATGATATGCTAGATGTAAATACAGAAGCGTATAAACTGGCATTGAACTGTTGAAAAAATTCCATATTGAACGTTTTGTCAATATTTGTTAAGTTTTTACTGTACTTATAATTCGCGAAATAGATTTAATGAAAGAAAACCGATAGATGGAAAGATTATTTATAAAACACTGTTGTTTAGTTTACCTAACCTTTAAGACCTTAATATATTTTTCAAGTATATGTTACTTAATTGTTTTATAACATGTATTGCTAATGATAAAAATGTAGATTCAGTTGAAAAAACAATTTTACAAGAAATCAATTAACCAACTCTACTGATGAATATTACTGACGAAGTACCACATCAAAATTATATACAGTGTTATCTTTGTCAAATATTTGCCCATGCAAATTACATTTTGAATTGGTTAAATTTTGTATCTATTATTTGGTAAAATCACTTCAAAATTAAAAATAAGACATTGAAACTATTTGCCCCCTGGCTGTTGCATTTTACCCTGTCTATGAGGTAAAAAGGGACAGATGATAAAAATTCACTGGAAATTTTATTGAACATAGTACAATGGTTTGTAATCATAGCTAAACAAGTAATAAAGTTGTAATATAGTTCATTTGGTTTAGACAATTCATTTTGGTTAGTTTTATAATTACTTAAAGTCAAATTGGACCTTTGTGCCCCGCCCTACCCCACACATAATTAATTTTAACTTAAAATATTTTTTTAAAAATAAACGTTTTAGCAATATATTGCAATCAATTGAAGTTTCATCAGTTAAAGTTCTCAATAAAAATCTTAATTCAGCAAAATAACAAAAAATATGTCTTGTGAGTTACTATAATACTTAAGGGGGTATTCTAGTGTAGAAATTCACAAAAACACGTGAACACGTTTTCTTGTGTTTCATATTTTCAAAGTTTACCTAGTTAAGAATATGTGTGCAATAGGGAAATAAAATAAATTTTCAGAGAATCTTCTTTATAGACTCCTCTCTGGTATATACTACACTCATCACAAAATTTCAATGTTTGCTATACTTAAAAATTCAAGAAACCGAAAAAAGTGATTAAACTTTTTTTTTAACTTGTCCCTAGTATATATCATAGCAACAACAATATAGATTAGTAATCTTTTTTTTGCAATCCCCTCTTCAGCAACTGCTAATATTTAAATTTATTAACTTTTTTTTTACTTTTTTTCTGTACTCTTGTAACATTGATAAATAAATTATAAAAAAATGAGAGTAAAAAAATTAATTGTGTCTTTTTTACTATAATTTAAAAATTCATTTCTCTACACTAAAATAACCCCTTAATAGTGTAAAATCAGTACCAAATATTTAATCTGGAATTGACTATTTCTATTATTACCTCATTGAGGGCCATGGTGACGGCACCAGAGACGGCCAAACCTTGCCGATCCTTCAGTTCGCCCTTGATGGCCGTCAAATATCCAACTGTTAAAACTTTTTTCTTGCCGATCACAGCGTGAGCCGTGGGGCCAATTGCTAAGCTCGTCTGCGTCAGAACGAAAAGCCATAGCAAAGGCCCCGTCGATACATGCATGTCCCGAAAACCTCTATGTCACCGATCTGAAAAGAAAAAATACAATTTTAGTAATAATTGAATCATATTTATTAATATTTTTGAGCAAGAAATCAGAACTTAAGAGTTGTTTGATAAACCTTGAAAATATGTGGCTTTTTAGAAGATCCAACGGTTGACCAATCTATATTTGATATATTTTTTTATAATTATTTCTCTAATATTGGTGATATGTTTAAAAAAGCGAAATGCCACTAAAAACCTATTTTTACTTAAAAACATAATTATAAGATTTTAGATAGATTAATTTATTTAGATCTTTTTTCTTATTTTATTGGCCTTGCTTACTCGAGCATTTAGCCACCTACAACATATTTCAATTTCAATACAATCTTCATGCTGATACTATTTTCCTTATATCAATCCTATTCTTCTTTCTATTTTATATTCTATCCTATTCTTCTTTCTATTTTATATTCTATCATATTCTATGTACTCTTCAACTTAACTTTCTTCTTCTTTATTATCTATCATTGTATCTTCTATCTTTTTACGTCTTCTTTACTTCTATTCTTACTTCCGCTACTTCCTTCATTACTGCTAGTCAATTTAATTTTTATTCTCAAATCTTTTTATACATGATTGAACTATTTTAAATACTATTTCAAACTATTTTTAACTTTATTTCATACTATTTTTTTAACAGTATTTCCATATTTTTAAATTGAAGTTATATGTTGTTCAAGGTAAAAATGCCCTAATTTTGCAATATTCTCATATCAGTAAAATCTGCAATACACTTATTACAAAAAAAGCTAAAATTATTATTATTATTTATTATAAAAAGCTAAATATTGGTCAGTATATGGGCGCAATATTGGTAAGGGGGCGTCTGAATTAATATTCAATATAATAATAAAAATCTGCATATTTCAAAAATACGAAATAAAATAGGATAATATGTAAACAAAATCAGCATGTTGCAAAGGCACTGAATAAAATACAATATAAAAATAGGATTTGAAATAGAAATAAAAATATTGAAAATGACCAATGTTTTAAAGCAAGACCTATACATTAATAAATGAATATTCTATTTTAGAAAAATAAAACAAAATCTTGTATCAATAATAATCCCATATAATAATAATAAACTCACTCTAATAATCAAAAATCCCACTATGAAAATTTAAAACTAACTAAATCGAATTGAAATTACACTACCTTGATGACTACAAAAAACCAAGAAAATTTTCATAAGAATATTATTTTACACCTTAAACTCACAGTGATATAATTTATAATTATATATATATATATATATATATATATATATATATATATATATATATAATTTATTATTATAATTTCAAAAATACGAAATAAAATAGGATAATATGTAAACAAAATCAGCATGTTGCAAAGGCACTGAATAAAATACAATATAAAAATAGGATTTGAAATAGAAATAAAAATATTGAAAATGACCAATGTTTTAAAGCAAGACCTATACATTAATAAATGAATATTCTATTTTATAAAAATAAAACAAAATCTTGTATCAATAATAATCCCATATAATAATAATAAACTCACTCTAATTATCAAAAATCCCACTATAAAAATTTAAAACTAACTAAATTGAATTGAAATTACACTACCTTGATGACTACAAAAAACCAAGAAAATTTTCATAAGAATATTATTTTACACCTTAAACTCACAGTGATATAATCGAATCTATTTTTTGGTCGGTGCTGGGTTGATGTCCCATCTCTAACTACATATAACATTTCGACAAATATAAAAGACTGCTAATTAAATATATGAATTTTGTTCTATTTCTAGAAGTCTTGTGTTAGTTTCTAATAATCGCGTATTCTATTTATAACCCCCGGCCAGCAAGAATATTCACTTCCTAGTTATAATTTATAGCTTTTCAACATAAACATGGCTTGATTTATCTAAATGTGTTACAATTAAATTAACGATTAATATCGAACATAACTGGATATAGGAATTATGTAATGTTATATCAGGCTATAGATTTGATTTATATTAAAATCAATCATTGCACTTTTTGGCTATAATTTTCTAACAGCTGATGGCATTTTTAATTGGTGCAGCAATGCCGCAGGAAGGCTATTTTCACTGCTATCTGTATTTCCAAGTAAAAACTGATGTCTCTATTGCATGACTCAGGCTGTCTGAGTTGGAATTCTGAAACCTTTTGATTGGAAGACCAAAGCTCTAACCACTAAGCGACGGTAAAGCCCTTTAGACATAAATAGTGTAATAGTGAGTAAAACGTCTCAATTGGGCATTAAAATTCTATCAACCCATGATGTCAGATTTTATGAAGTTCTCTCCTTAAACGTTCAATTTTCAGTCAGTAAACCAAGGCAAGTGTTGGTAAACCATAAAGTATAACTCTTATGTTTATAATCCCATTCTCAGATGGATACCTACTATAAATAGAACAACAAACACTTTTATTGCTACAAAACTGCGTTTAATTGCCGCAATATGTCTTGCGGCAACAAATCCTACGTGAGATTTAATGAAAACCATGTGTATCAGCTGGTCAATATAACATTCATTTTCTTCTCTATAAACCATTTCTTTGCTGACCATTACTTACAAAAGGTTTATTGATAGATAGATTTCTTGGCAACTGATTCATTTTGATTTACAAACTATGCTAAACATTTCGAGGAATAAACAAAATTTTCATATAGCGCGATGTTACCTAATGTTTAGAAATGTGAATAAGGCCGAGCATCTAAAAAGCTGTCGAAAAAATAGACTTATAAACAAACTGAGGAATAAATCTATGAAATGATCAAATTTATTGCGAAAAAATGTGAATATACCTTTAACAGATCGATTAGATGAATAAAAATCCATACAGCAAAAAATGGTAATCAGACAATATATGAAAAACAGAAAAATGCTGTACAATACCGATCCTAAATGTTATTGCTTGGGGGGAGTGACTAGGGCGGATGCTAAGTACGTCACTATGGAGTGCAAAAAATGGGAAAAGGGTAGACAAGAGCTATGAACGTAGATAGTAAGGCAAAAAATCTCCCTCTCAAACAATTTTATAACATTGTAACAATCAAATAAAATAAAATTGTAAAGATAACTTATAAAATATATATGACTAACATATAAAGTCAACAAACAAGCAATATCATCTTGTTTTAGCAATTAAATATATCAAACCAAAGAGCTGCAGAAGCTTTTTAATGCTTTGTGTCTTTCTTTTCGATCAAATAAATGTTGCCACATAAGTCTGCCCATTCAATCAGATAATTTCAAGTTTATGTAACAGCTCGCAATAATCTCATACAAAATCCGGATTTGTTTAATCTAATTACATTTGTCATTATTTTTTTAAACTAATAAGAACAACAAACATCACCACACACACCCAAAAATATGTAACTATATACATGAATCAATACAAGTTCCACATTATTTGTCCATCCCACCTCCTTAGAAAATTTTGGTGACGCGTTTCAAAACCTAGCCATGATGGCCGCTGTTCTGTAATATCAGGTCAAATATTTACATTTGTGTACATCGGTTCTTCATTGTTGTTTATTAATAAAATTTTAAAAATAGCACATCGACCATATTTGTATAGTTTTTTTGCTGTATATGTGTTTCCTTTATTTGCTATCTATTAATTTATTAGATAGAACAAGAAAAAAACTGGTGTGATCTACCTCGTTATAGACGGCATTGATGGATGGTGTTTATTTTCGGATGTCGATAGCGATTCTGAGAAATTTTATATTTTGAGTATAATAGAATTAATAGATAGTTTATTCATCTTGTTTTTTTTCAGTTGTTTAAGGTTTAAATCATTTGTGTGATTTTTATAATGCTATCTTATTTAGTACAAAAAAATTTCAAACCAATTTTTTTAACCCAATTTTATACCCACCACTCATACATTATATTGGTGATACTAATAGTTAGCACTATTTTAGATTGTAGTAAAAATGCTGTACAATACCGAAACTAATTACTATTGTTTGGGTGGAGTGACTAGGGCGGATGCTGAGCACTCCGTTATGGAGTGCAAAAAATGGCAAAAGGTAGACAAGATCTATAGAGCATATTAGTTTTAAGTGGTACTTATATTAATTTGAAAATAATTGCAAAAATGAATGATTTCATCCAATTCATAGTTTACATGAAGTTAAGAGCAACTTAAGATAAGAGTGATGATTATCAAATTCTTTAGTGATTAAATAAACCAGTAATTAGAACAAATTGAGTACGTACTTGTACCACAAAAATGCAGACAATACTATTTATTTAGAAATATGTTTTGTCTACGTGAAGATACAAACTTTAGAAATAAAATTAGGAAGAAAAACTCATATCATTTTCTTATATTTGAATATTTTGGCCCCCCAAAATCGCTCAATTTCAACATCAACCTCGTTTACTACAGATATAAGTGAGTAGCTATATATGGTAGGTCAAAGTTTTTACTCGATGACATCATGTTCCTAAGTACACATGTGAACACTTATTGCTATTTTTAATAAACGTATCATGTATTTACATATGTATTTGTGAATTACTCTACTAAGTAACTTAATGTTAATTTTAAATTGCCTCAATCAATCATCATTTAGTACTTGTATCAATTTAATGTCGGTATTGTTTAAACTAACAGGCCATTAGTTGGCACAATAACGTCGTATTAAATTATGATTGTATCATTATTATTATTTAAACTTATGCATATATAATTTATTAAAATTACTGGGACGCGATTCATAATTCATTTGCATATGATACAGTTTTTTTCAGATCTTTAGATTTTTTCTTGCGTGAAGTTTATGAATGCGGTTAGCATTGAGATTGTGTTTTTGCTTGGATTTTTGTATCTGGTTTATGCAGCTGATTTAGGAAGTAAAGTAGTCAAATTGTGTGTTCAATGTGAAGGTAATAAGTTTAAAAAGTTGGTTTCTTTTATAGACATAATATATTTCTTACAAATGCATATTAGTAATGGATGTTC